CTAAAAGAGAGAAGAAAACACATCCAACTGGTCCAAAAGTTTGGCGAGCTCTTCCGTACGTAAAGAATGTATCGGAAGCGGCCAGCCGCCTACTCACCCCATATTAAGTTGAAATTGCGCACAGGCCAGAAGCAACCATCAGGCGCCGGGTTTGACAAGGCTGAAGTCATGGTTCTCAGGCCCCAAGTCCATCAACAAACGCAACCATTTGGTGCTCCCATACAGTGTACTGAGAAGTATCTGAACAAGAGAATCAGTCGCTTGGGAAGGACCGGGGGCAGCAACAACGGTGACAACAGCGGGCATAATTGTCACGCAATTATCAGGCCCTCATCCGACGCTGACAAGGCAATTGTGGCAATTAGTGAGTCGAAAGCGAAGTTCAGAAGACGAAGGTGCGATCACTGGAACAAGAGTTTTATTTATTTATTTCCTGGGACTCGAATATTCGCTACTATTGGCGAACGCGAAGTGTCAAGTCAGTACCGCATCAATTAAGATCCAAGCGGTGGCTACAGAAGTGAATAATTATCGCACGCACGCGGATGACCACTATGAACTATAAATACCGTGCAACCTGCGCATGTTTCAACCCTATTTACGCATGACTATGACTACCCTACCATCACCTACGATAAAGGATTCCCGACGGAATCAGAAATGTCAGGAAAACAAAACTCTTGTTCCAGTGATCGCATCCTCTTCTTCTGAAAAGCATGGAAAAGCGTTAATCAGGGTCTTATGATTACAACTCATCGTTTTCACGCCGCCCGCCCACACGGCGAGGTCAACTTGTAGAGGTTATTGTGCTGGAGAAGAGAGGGGGGAGGAAATTAGAATGGGTTGTGAGTATTGGTCATGGGTCAGGTACTTGGAGTGAAAACTACTGTCATATGCACGGAGTGAACAACAGTCAAATCTGCCAAACCCCCGCTCCCCTAATAATATAATAGATTGTTACCGGCGATTTGAGACAGGGCAGTGCAGTGCAGGGCAGGGCATCAGTGCAGGATGGGGTGTTAGGATTTTTAGTTGTGGTTAGAGCGTTAGACTTCTTACTTACAGGGTCACGGGTTCGAACCTCGGGTGGGGCATTTCTTCAGGTTGGGTGTGACTGACTGACGCCGGCTAATAAGTCAGAATATATACCTAGATTACAAGCCGTTGCGGCTGCTCTCAGGGCCTGAAAAATGACTTCCAAGGCAGAGTGTAACAAATGATGTCCGTTAGCTGTCGGTGAACGTTTGTCAACCAGCGTCATTTTCAGTTGTGGTGAGATTCACAACTATCCAATATGGACTAGCAGCTGTTTTTGAAACGCTGACACAATTTGGTGAGTAGGACATGCAGATCTTCAAAATGAGACTCCATATCGACGTGGTATTTAGAGTTAGTCATGCTGGGATGCCAGGTCTCCAGGAATTCTCGCACTTGTTTAGCGTTAGCCATGGCGTCCACTTCAATTCCGTTCCAATGGAAGCCATGGTTGCGCTCAAGGGCCTGCTTAAATGCGAGTGACAAGGTATCGGTCGGTGGGTGGTTACTTTTTATTAGTTGCTGCGACTCCATAGTCCTTGGCCTGAATGACCGAAGTAAACGCAACGGCAATTGTCACAGAAATGACTCTTTCGTTCCCACTATCTTCTTATTTCCCACTGCTCTATTTGTTGCCTGCCGCCAATACAGATTATT